ACAGCAGGGCTAATTTTCCCAAAAGCCAATTAACCTATCAACTTTGGACTGTGGAAGGAAACCCAAGTTTCAACTGAATATTTTTGGTTGGTAAAATGGTACATTTTTGTCCAAAATACACACAAACGTTTTTCAAAATAAACTTGTTTTAAAACTCAAATAAAGAAAGGGTTTCCAACTTTCTGTGAGACGAGACTTACACTTCACAAGGCTGGAAGATTGGCAGCTAGAGCTGGTGGTAATATTAGCTTAGACTTCATATAAATAAATCCTGTAAAGATGAAAATCATTGTGAGGCTCTCCAGCAAGCTTCAGCCGGCTGTTGTCATAAACAGTGATTGAGTTATCCACAAAACTTTCTCTGCTCTTCTTAAACACTGTGTAATTGGAATTCTCACCTAACACTTTGTCTTTTTGACTTCAAATCCCCTCCCATTGCCACTCTTCTTTTTTAATATTACACCTACATAGAAATAAACAGATTTGCTGTAGTTAGCAGCACTAAAACATTGTTTTTTTTTATCTAGCACAATAGGCAGAGGTCTTTCCAGGGCAGAAAGGTGATGGAAGAATTTTGGGTTAGTTTTACTGTATACTTGAAATCAATCCTGACCTTTCCACTAAGCCTCCAACAGATTGAGATTTGTGTTATTTTATTATAAATTAATGAGCAAATATGAAAACAAAGCTGCTCTGTTCCTAAATATATTTTGCAGATTGCACTTTATTGAATAAATTATTTATGAATACAGCTCTGTAACAGACATTTCTTAAAAGCTAGGCGTCACACTTCATTATATATATTATAACTTATAATACAAAACTAATAACAAACACAAGAGGCAATTAGTTGTATGCCTTATTAAAAGGCAACATTCTTTGCCCTCTTTCCTGATAACAAACCTATCTGGATTTGAAGTATCTGAATTTGTCTCACAGTGCAACATTCTAGTATTCATATATCCTTGAGATACAAAATAGTACATAGTACAGTAAAACACAGATACTGTTTACTCACACACAGAAATGTTATTTCAAGACCTCCACCCAAGGGGATATTAATGAGATTCTGCAATTCCCTCCCTTTATGTCCTCATCTTTATGTAATAAAACTACGGATAGGAAGTACAGTACATGGAAATGCAGCTGAATACTGTAGCTCACAGTATTGCTTGGAAAGCAGGAGTGCATTCTGTTTAGATGTGTTTACAGATAGACACACTTGTTGACAAAATATCATTTCAACAATCCATTTAGGGCATCTGAAAAAACACAGCAGGGAGAATATGTCATTTTTTTCACAGATCAGTGATAAAATCTTGTAACTTTACAATAACTTTGCAATCTGTCTTTGGTTTGACTAGAATTTGTAGAGAGTTGCTCGATAGTGAAGATATTTTCATATATTTATAGATACATATCAGTGATTGTTGTATGGTGTTTTCTTGTTGCGGGCAGCCCTGAGGGGATTGAGTGATACTATATGTAATATAATAAACACAGTGTCCCTTCTTGGTTTGGAAAGCCTAAGGCTTTTCTCTGCTGCCATCTCTGACCCACCATTTGACCATGTATTCATATAGACTTAGAAAAAAGTCTAATAAAATCTTCAGCATCTACAGTAATTGTGTGTTCATTAGTATTCGTATTAGGATATGTACAGAATACTTGAATCTGTTTTGTAATTATGGAAACTGTAACATGATGTAGCAGTTGTGGTGCTTTAAAGTCCATCTAAAGTGAATGTCAGCTGCCTCAGACAACTGTTTCATCTATGTTAGGGCTGTAAGTACAGCATGACTGTGAACTTTGACTTTCTACATGTAAAAATGGAATTACATGCCTTTTTAGATGGTTCTTTTTCCAAGCATTGTTAACTGTTTAGCTCTCACGTTCCAATAATCCAATAATTTAATAATTTAATTCCTTCCATCCATTTTTTATCTGTCTGTATGTCATGGAAGCATTTGACAGGACTGCATTGAATTCACTGCTTATTGAATTAACGTGGTGTAAGGTTCTGCCTGAGTAAATGCGTTTTATTCAACTGGAGTTAAAATAATAAATGCTATTGTTAGGCTTAGTAGCAACCATAGGGTAATCAACAAGGTGCTTTATTATAAACCAAGTGACTGTACAGTAGAGTAAAAAAAGTATTTTGCTGAAACTGAAGTGAACAGCTGGAGAACTGAAAAAAAGCATGTTTGCCTCTGGCCTTCTCTCCTGCCTGCCTTCCTCACATCCACACATCTCTCTCTCATCCCCATCATTTCCTCTTTAAGAGGATAAAAATCCTAATGTTCTGAAGAGCTGCACTCATCACAAAAGCTAATAAGCAGCCCTTCTTATAATTTCCAGCAATTCAACAAATATTGTCTTGTGAAAATCAACCTACAACACAGAGAGGAAGTTAGCTCGAATATAATTAATGAAAATGTTTTAAAAATATTTTTGGGGTAATTTAGATTTTAATGATGCACAGTCCCTTCCATCAGAAGTCAGCATGAATTGGTTTTCAATAAAGTAAATGATTTCATTTTGTTGCAAGCAGAAGTGCCTTTTTTAGGGGTAAACTCATTAGCAATTAGAGGATATCCAATAGGACACAAAAAACTCTGTCTAGACAATTGATTACAGACTAATAGGACTTTTTGTTGAATCCTCACACCTTAGGGAAGGAGAAGTGTCTCCCCTCTGGAGAATCTCGCAGGTCTTGTCAATCTGCATTGTTGGGCAATGGATTGCAATGTGTGTTTCTCAAAAATGGCTATTGACAAAGATGCTGGAAAATAAGGGGTTTTAATTAAGTTAAAACTTAGTTGGCCTTGAGTAATAAAAGGCCTAACAAAGAACTTTTTTGTTTTTGTTGTTGCTGGTCAGCATTTCAGTGAGTAGATCCTCACGAGTAGAGCACGCTGAGCACCTCTCCAGAGGGACAAGCAAACTTCCGGAGGGGGAGAACTTTCCAGCGACAGGCCCGGATTGTAATGCGAGCGCTTAGGTTGCATTTTTTCATATTTTTTCCTTTTTCCAGCCCCCGGGAGAGGTTGAGTTTCTTTGGTTTTTGGCACAACGCTCCTTTTCTTTCAGGCTGGACCCCACTTAACAGGGCCAGTCCAGCCTGGACGCTGCTGGTCAAAGTGATGCATTTTTTTCCAGTTGACTTTTATTGATGTTCGCCACGGCTCCTCCCACTCCTGCATTGTTACTCAGGGTGTTTTTATTTAATTGTATATTTTATACAGAAATAAACAACTGATTTAATGTTATTGTTCACCTTTTGATGTCAAAATATATATTAAAATCCGAATTTATTTTTCTCTGTCTAATGTATTGCATGTGGTTACAACAAACAGATGAATTGTGTGCAATGAATGTGATTTTTCAATATGAAAGCAAAAAAACAGACATTTATATAAAATGTATCCTGAATGAACACCAAACTGTTACTGGTTACTGTGTCATGCATTTTTAATTTATACTTTCTGCTAATAAACATCAGTAGATGATAAGATGATTGAAGTTCTAGTGCACACAGAAGTTTATTACATCATACTGTGCCTCAATCTTTCTGTGCCGTTACTATAGTTAATTAAACATCCTCATACTGCAGGAAATCAAAAACATGGCAAATTATTCTCAATTTTAAGTGTGATAAAAATGTCCTGCTGTGCTACTTTGTACCATAAAGCTTGAGACCTAAACCTCTGTATAAAGGCTTTGTGAAAATTTGCTTCTATCAATTCTTCTTGATGAGAACTTAAATGTTTGAACATTTTAATTCATGTTATTCTCAAGTAAATTATTGTAGCTGGTCACCATGATTTCCACCACTCATGTTTAATCTGAGTAATTATAGAAACTGTGCTTCAGTACAGATTGGAGTCTTGCTGTGGGAATTGAACTCTTTTAAAATTAACACCTTTGTGTAGCTTTTAAATATCTAGGAGGAGAAACAATATGATACACATGGATTTAATTAGGCTATGAACTTTGTTTGCTAATGTTAAAGTACTAAGTTTGCTAATGTTAAAGCAGTGTGTGATTTTGTTTTCAAAGTGTAACGTTTTATGAATATGGTTTTGTCTTTTTTACTGTATATGTTTCTTTGTGGTTGGTGTTATATAACATTTTTGTCAGTTTTTGTGAGACTGGAGATTCAGCTGGGCACAGCAGTGAAATGCAATCTCCTATGATTTTTCCAAGTGGATTCAGCGAGTTTGCACCTTGTATTCTCAATTTATCTTCTGAAATTTCTTCAGTTTTATTAATTGCTCTTGTGTTTGAGTTACTTGTAAATTGTGTTTGAAATCCTTTTCCCAGAATTAAAAATTCAGCTCTGGAGACCAAATCTCCAGTCATTCCTTCTAGACTGGATGGCAACCTCAGAACCTTAAAAACGGAAAATGTGAAAAAAAAGTTTATGGGATTTTTTAGGAACCATTGACTTCCATACAGTTTTCAACAAACCCATGGTTTTCATTTTGGCATGGAGGGGAAATAAGAACACATTGCATGGATAGGTAGCGAAGATTCTGTGTGCAGAATAATTTACTTGTACAAATTATTGGAAGGGATCGTTTCTGTTACTGAGTTGATGCATACGCCCTACTACTGTAGGTAGCATTTTGTACATGTACTATAACATTACCAGTTCCAAGTCTTAGCATTGGTTTGACTTGTATTCAATGCACTGTTAATATAATCAATGTGCATTCTTTCAAACACTGTCCCCAGAGGTTTCCTCAACATTGAATGTCTTCATTGTATACGAAATTCAGTGTAAATATTTTTATAAAACTACACTTGGAGTGAATTGGTACTTGATTTTCATAGATTTTTATGTATCATTTGCAATGGCATATGCTAATTTATGAAGAAGTTTTTGAAGAGCATGAACTATCCATTTTCATTTCTAATACTAAATAATCTAGAGCTGTGTGTACAGTTGTCATGGTTGCCACACTGACAGTTTGCTCTCTGGTTTCTCTCTCTCGCAGCCTGTGAGCTCATGACACAGGGTATTCTGGCACTGGTGACATCGACGGGCTGCGCCTCAGCTAGTGCACTGCAGTCTCTGACTGATGCCATGCACATCCCACACCTGTTTGTGCAGCGCAACAACGAGGGCTCCCCTCGCACTGCCTGTCACCTCAATCCCAGCCCTGACGGAGAGCGGTACACTCTGGCCGCCAGGCCCCCAGTGAGGCTCAACGACGTGATGCTTCAGCTGGTCACAGAGCTACGCTGGCAGAAGTTCATCGTTTTCTATGACAGTGAATATGGTGAGTTTTGGCTGGAGTGGAGGCATAATTCTTCCTCTTATTCTTATACAAATTAGGGACAAAATGAAATCAGACCAACCCGAATATGACTATATTCTTCATACAGTATGTGGCTTTATATTTCAATGTTACAATCAATTGTTAGACTACTTAGAATTTTTAGATTGTAGATCTAAGTATAAAAGTAGCTTTTCTTCACATTTCTTCACATACATACAGGTATAAATCAAACTCCGTGTACTGTGTTGACCGAGTGGAGTTTTTTTATTACGTATTAAGTCAGGAGCGAATGTTCAATTGCATTTTCCCATAATACTGGAATGTGTAACGAAACATAGAACTGTGTGCTGGAAAGCAGAGGTAAAGTACACTACACACATCTAAGAAAAGGTTCAAAACAAATCTAACAAGGCATGTAGGGGGTGAAAGAAATACAAGGAGCAGACCTTGCCTCATGCATACCATATGCTGTATGATCTAAAATGTACATTAGATCCTGTCATTTGAAGAGAAATGACACATTTTGCTTTATATTTTTTATTGTAGTTTTCAGATTTATTTCATACGTCAGTCATAAGGAGCTGGCAGTTTTTCTTCTCACAAATAATATTTTTTGGGAGAACTTTATTGCAAGTCCTGTGGACTTTGCAACAGATTCTGTTAGAACGTCTTTCTATAGAATATATGTAGAATTTTACACAACTCCTAAATCTTTTTTTGGCGCATATTTGTTCTAATAACAAACACAAAGAAAAGTGTATTGAGGCAAGAACAAATATGATACAGGTTGCATCAGTGCCTATTCAATATTGTTATGTCTGTGAGAACATAGATTACAAATTTAATATACAGAAATGCAAATACAGTACAATACATTTTGAGAGTTGTTTCAGGTGTTCTCTTTAAAAGCTCTCATGATTTATGAAATAGAAGATTGCTCTTTCAGTTCTGGTGAACTACAATGCAATGCTTTTTCAGTTCTGTTGAAGAATGATTTCCCAATGTTGCACGTACCTCCTGCTTAACTCTATTTTGGGATTCTGCCGAGCAGATGTAAAGTCTTTTAATCCTTTCAGTGGAGTAGTCACTTCCCTTGACGAGGCTATGCTTTACCTGCACTGAATTAACTGCAATTCCCATGTGTGGTGATGGTGTTATCCATCTGTGTCACCTTTTCCCTCTCTGTCATAAAATATTAATACATGAGATCTTGGGAGTAAAAAACATAATTCACAGGGGGTCACAGAGAGTTCATTTATAATGAAAACTATTGACACTTGCAAAGCACATGTTGGATTACATCTGCCATTCCACATTCCTAACAGCGCACAGGCCCACTGGTATGTTTATGTCTTGTTTCGCAATTTGAGGAAGTGCATGTTCATCAGTTATAGAACTTTTACAGTTGTGAATAAGTACATGTTATTTATCACCGTGCATCTTGTTGGGATATACATTATATTGTCCCAACAAAATACCACAAATTGGTATTTTGCATATTGCACACACTGTTGGCGTATTGAACACATTTGTTGTTTTCTTTGCCATCTACTTCTAAATCATTCCTGTCCTTGGAATACTGGATGATTTACTACCATGTTTACCATTGATAGCTTGAGAAATAGTTGGTAATTCAATGGTTTATAATAATTTATTAATTCTGTGTTCTGCGTGTATTGGTTTTGAAATGTATGGCTTTATGAAATGTGAAGGTTATTTTCATAAAGGATAACAAAGTTCTCAAAATGAAAAAGAAGCACAAATATGACTAAATAAGAAAATGCAGCCACTTAACACCAATACACACACATATTTGTGTTACACACATTATACACATATACTGTAGTATTCACTTTTCTTCACCTTATCAATTCAGTAGCATACAGCATTAGTAAAGTATTTTTTTTACATAATTTATGCTATTAAATCTTTGGATTGAACTACACTAGAGGTAGTTCCTGCTCCTGCCTATATTGTTTCAGAAATTGTTTGGACTAAACCATTCCTTTCTTTACCGCCTTTAAGCTTAACACACAAGATGCAATCATAAACAATGGAGAGAGTTTCTGTAAAAGCTGCACTGCTTGCCAGCCTTAATTCCTGGAGTGAGAATGAATCCACCTAATTTGTTCATTCATTTTGTGTTGACTACCTGTTTCTTCTCAAGGAGCCAAATTAGAAGAACTTTAGAAGCTAATATCTGTTAATTACAACTCTAAGAATAAAAAGTGCTCTTGTGCAGAAAATTGCTGGAAGAAAAAGAACAAAGAAAGAATGTTGCCATGAAATGTGTCTTTAATAATCTATATTTTTCACTGTTTTTAAGAGGCTTTTTCCAGTAAATGCAAACATTTTGATCTTAATGGTTTTTAATTGCACTTATCTGGATTCATTCCTTTTTGTTTGGTTTTAATTAGCATAGATTGGATTTTAATTGAAGTTAAAATTAGGCACTTCTGTTCCAATATTGAAATGAAATTACTTCAAAAGCAATTAGGATGCAGAACCTATCTTAGACACTCCGTTTTAAGTGTAAATGAGCTGTTTTTTGCCTGTTGTCTGAAAACGATTAAATTATTTTTTTGTATTCAGAAGAAAAAAATGTAATCCATACAACTTCTTATACTGCATATTAAGGACATAGTGAGTGTTTAGGTACATTAAAAAGGTCAAGCAGGGAGAGAAAAAAATCAATGGATTTTGAGAAGAATTAAATGAGATTAACAATTATTATGTTTAATTGTAAATCATTACAAATGTTGTGCTTTGCTGATGCTCAGTTTTCACCTAGGATTTCAGCCCTGTATTACGAAGTGTATTTCAGGACCCTATACAGACAGCACAATCCGGAAGGAAGTGAGAAAACACAGGAAAAAAAGACTAGGATAGGGGCTGAAAGAATAACAGGGGGTGTGTCCAAGGTGCGCTGGTGCTTGGAGGTGTGTCCAGGGCAAACAAGTCCAAGGGAGTCCGTTAGAATATCCTGGGAAAGCCAATGTCCAAAGCCGGGTGATCCAATCTGACACAGACGAACGAAGTTAAATGCTGGAGCAGGATCCAGCAAAGGGTCGGGGGTAAAAAAGGGGGATACGGGGCCAGGCACTCCCAGTCCTGGACTCAGATGGTCAGGACGCCGTTGTGAAGCCTATGCCGTCGAGTTGCTCCTGGACTCGCGGGTAGGCGGGCTTCCGGGTGTCCATCTTCCAAAGTTGAGCCCAGATTGGCAGGAACGTCTGGCTTTTATAGGATGGGGGTTGGAACCGGAGGCAGGTGCAGGGAATAAATAATAAACTAGGAAGGGCTGGAGAGTCCTTAGAGGAGGGGTTTACGATCGTGACACCCTACCCTATATGCATATTCAGATTAAAAATCCAATTTGACTTCTATTTCAGTGGAGTGGAGTAGGGTCACAGACACCAAATGCACCCTTTTAGCATAGTTTATTCTGTGGTATATACACAGTTAAAATCCTGTTGTGAAGCCCAAAATGACTCTCTTCTGGCTCCACCTTAGAAAATAAAGCCACTCCAGGATTAAGATTTTTACTGCTAAACGATAATTTGATGAATATTTTTTAGACAATAGAACTGCAAAAAAGACACAACCATTTACTGGGATAAAAGAGCTTGACTGTCTGTGTATTGCTTAAGGATTTAAACTCTATTTACCAGCTGCTGAGACATTCATGAGGAAATCCAAGAGCTATGCTTGCTTAGACAGGATAAGTTATGGATAAGCAGTGTGGACACAAGGACAGAAAATTCAACAAAATTAACTTCCAGTGCAGTATGGAAATGGGTATTGAAGTGGTAGTAACAGATGAGAATCTTATTGAAGTAATATTGATATAGACATACACTGTACTTCTACTACTATCAATTTATTGGGTAGACCTTACAATACTGAAAATAGAGAGCGTTGCTATGGGTACAGTATATACAGTAGCACAAATAAAAATATTTGTCAGCCACTCCTGGAATGTTCTTAGTTGACTTCAAATAAAGGTAGAATGAACATGCTGACCTCTTTAAAGGTCAAATGCCAGATTGTAAAGAAAGGGTAAAGCAGAAACCTGTCCTTTTAGAACACTTAAATTCAATAACACACTGTAATAACAGTTACAGAATACAACTCAGGTAGGAATGTCTGTAATTTTGAATGCATCAACTTTTTCAAACCACAGGTTTCTTCAAGATTAACAGCGAAACACAAAACAGAGGGCACAAGTGGAATCTATGTGAAAGTGTATTTAAAACAAGTAACAGGAGGTACTTTTTCTACACAAAGATTTGTGGAATGAGCTATCTTACAATCTATATATGACCTCCTATTCTTGGTAACCATTCTTATATTCATATTATTACTATTGGTGAAAGAGATAGTGGATTGATAAAATTGTAAGATTGCAGTTTAATTAACTACAAATTCTATTTACACACTTATGTATCTACTGTATAATCGACAGTCAGTGTAGATATTAAGTAACTGTCTTTCCTCTATATATTTCACTTCTGTTTTTTATTTGCAGAACATGTTTGCAGAGATGTTTCTCTCATATTACAAAATTCAGCTACTGTACAAATATATGTTTATAAAAATATTGAATTACATAAAATAGAGCGTGTAAATCAATAATTAAATTATTGTTTTAATATTTTTAATAAATAATGTTAAATATCTGTTAAAAATAAATGTTAATTATAAATTAGTATATCCCATATTGTAAAGGATATGACAAGAATATACAGTACCTGAGGTTGGTACAGTATGATCAGAGGCACATGAGATCTTTCTTGTTCTTTGTTGGCAAAGCCTTAATGAAAAGAATAATACGTCAGGCACACTGGGTTAAACAAATATCTGTTAATAATGACAATAACATACATAATAAACAACAAAACATACAACATTCTCTTTATTACTCTATTTACAAACAAGATGTCTCAGAGGCCTATAGCCTGACCAACCAGAAAAACCTGGACTGTTAATAAAGTATTCAG